CTTCCTCCTTTCCTGTACTTAGAGATGCTATATGCTCGCCGTGCTACGTTGAAAAGACAAACACATTATAGAGAGACGAAGTTATTAGATGTAACTAGATAACTTATGATTAATGTAGCTTTAAACTTGATGATTGATGTGGATCAGTTTTGCTAACAGTAACTATCAGATGTAAATACAATTAATGTAGATTAACTAGTTAGCTTGAGACAGAGAAAAACTCTAGCTCTGGCCATGTTTTGGCATCAGATAAATATATAACTAACTTTTTCCCAGGATGGAGAAGTCGTGACCCGCCCTACCCTTCCTCTGATTGGCTTACCCTGACACTGTAACCCTAACTAACCAATCGCACTCCCCATGCCACGTTCCAGGCTTGTCATTGGAGACTTTACACATTATACACATTTTACTGATTAAACTCTTGTAGGAGAACTTATTTATTCTCTGAGAACTGTTCTAACGCGATATATAGCCAGTATGAATAATCACCTCTGAGTCCAGGGCGAGCCCGGCTGTTTAGCGAGCGTATCCAGGAAGAGGGTGACGGCTTTGTGCACCTCGTTCATGCCGACCCACCGCAGCACCTCCTCCAGGAAGGACAGCGTGAACGGGTGGTTGTGTCTCCTCCAGCCGTAGCTTCTCATCGGGACGCCACCTGGTGGAGGAGGAGAGATATTACAGTGCTTGTGTGTGGAGTCCCGTTGGAAAGATAAAAACATTACAGACAGCGGAGGCTCTTGTTGCTGTGCATCAGAGTGCGTCTTTGTCTTACTGTGGATCCTCCAGAGGATGTAGAGCGGGGGCCACTGGTCTGTGTCGGGGGTCAGGGTGTCCCACAGGAGCCTCACTCTCACTGTGGAGTTCTCAGACTGCACAAAGAGAGACAGAGAAAGTCTTTCTTACTTTATTTTAAAGCGTCAGTCCCACAAATGTTGTCAGAAATTCCTGTTTGTTTAATCTGTTCTGGGCTGAATAATAAATCTGGATTGTACTGGACTGTAAATCTTTGATCTTATAATTGAATTTACTGGTTTGATTTGTTTGTGCTGTTGTAGATATGAAGCTGTAGCTCTGCAGCTTCTTGAAGACTTGCTGAACACTGGTTTTAATGTTTCTAGAGCTCTCTGAAACAAAGATCTACACATAGCTGAAAGGTTGAGTCCAGCGACGGAATGAAGGAACAACAGAACAGTCTCTATACTGTGGATCTCTGGATGTGAACGTGTCTCTATTGTTCACAGTTGGGGGATTCGGCTTCAGTCAGTGTGTCACCTGTGTGAACTGGCTGACCAGCGGCGAGGCTCTGACCAGCTGCAGCAGGTTACTGGGCAGCCCGAGGCGCTGGAAGTACCAGACCAGGTTCCAGAAGATGATGGAGTGGTTGTCCAGGAACTGCGGCTGGGCCAGCACCGCCTCGCCCTCGTTCTCCAGCAGACTCTCCAGCTCCTTCCTCAGAACCAGAGGGCTCAGGTAGGCCACAGTCACCTGGGGAGCTCCGCCCACCGAGGAGCCCTGAGGGAGGGGGCGAGAGAGAGAAACGGTCAGCGAGAGGACGGTAAAGCAACAGGAAGTGTGACGGAGTGGTAATAAATGTGCCGTACTGTGGTTGTTCTGCTGTTCTCTGAGTAGCTGCTGGTCTCGGAGCTGGAGTCTTCGCTCAGGCCGTTGCACTGGTGTCGCAGGGAGGCCTCCTGACCACTGGGGGGCCGCACCGCGCTCTCCACCTCGTCCTCCACGTTCCAGTTGCTGCGCTCCGCACTGACAGAAAAGGACACAGAGGAAACTCTTAAACTGAACACGCCGTCTGTGTGGATGAACGATATATAACAGATACAGATTCCTGAGGGCGACGCTATGCTGTTACCTAAAAACTTTACTATTTTCTTTCGCCTGCTCCCAGTAACATCCAAACAAAGATCTTAGTTAACCTGTAAACCTGTTTTAAATGTAATTAAATCTGGAATTGTTTACTCAGAAGATTTTATCTATCTGTGTTGCTTGCATACATATGTTTTTATAAAATAACAGGAATCTCAAGTATCTTTTTCTTTATGGGTAAAAACTGTCTCATTTGAGAATTACATTCATTGTGTTTATTCCAACAGACACAGACACTAAAGACTTGCAGTGATGACCTTCGACCTCGCCCAGTTGGAGTGAGTGTTTAATATCTTGTGTGTTCTTGCTTGTGCTAGCTGCATTAGCATCCACAGACTCCTCGTCGTCTGCACAGGTGCTACACACCTGCTCATACAATGCACCACAATACCAGATCTGGTTCACTGGTGAAAGCGTGTACCTGCTGACGGGTCCGAAGTCACAGATCTCAGCGTTCAGGAATGGGACGAAGGAGGCGCAGCAGAACGGGCAGGACGAGTTCAGGTTGGAGTCGTCTGACGTCCAGCCCGCCATGATCTCCTCGTCGTAAACCAGCGAGTTACAGCTGCGACACAGAGAGCAGCTGGACATCAACACCTGGACACACAGAGAGAGAGAGGGGAGGGAGGGGTCAGTGGTAACAGCGAGGGGAGGGTCGGACGCAAGCTGCTGCAGGACGGATCCGTTTACCTCGAGCCCCGTCCCCTCTTGATTGGCGTCCCAGGACCTGCGCAGGGGATAGGCCGGACTGGGCGTTTCCGTCAAGTCGAGGTCACTTCCTACAGACAACGAACTCTAAAGAAAAGACAACATGGAACCAGATTAGTACAAAGAAGATGGTGAATGACTGAAACTGTCAGA